TGGAGAAATAATAACTTTCCCAGATAAACAAAAGCTAAGGGAGTTCATGGCCACGAGACCCCCACTACAAGAAATGCTCAAGAAGGCCCTCAGGCCTGAAAAAAAGAAGAGAAAGGGAATACAAAGCTTGGAGCAAGGAGAAAAATAGGTAGACAAAGTCAGAAAAATAGTAGATCTTTACCGGAATAGATTAGCAACCACTTAGATACCAAAATCAAAGATCAAAGGAAGGAAATCACCAAAAATAAATATAACCTAATCACTTTAAACAAACACCCACAACACAAGATAGAATAAGTTGTGACAAGAATAACTTAGAAGGGGAAGAGGAAAGAGATTGAATTGACTTAGTATAAGGAAATAAAAGGCCATCAGATAATGGACTATCTCATATACAAGATTTTTTATATAAACGTCAAGGTAACCACTAAACAAATAATCAGAACAAAATCACATATGATCCTAAAGCGAAACCAAAAGAGTCATAAGACAGAACAACCAAACAGAATTGGCAGTCTGAAACACATGGGACAAGAAACAAAGGAAATGCAAAAGAACTGGAAAATAAGCTATAAAACAACAACATTAAGGCCTCATATATCAATAATTACTCTAAATGTAAATGGATTGAACTCTCCAATCAAAAGACACAGAGTGGCAGGATGGATTAAAAAGCAACACCCAACAATATGCTGCCTCCAGGAAATACATCTCAGCTCTAAAGACAACCACAGGCTCAGAGTGAAAGGATAGAAGACAACACTCCAAGCTAATGGCAAACAAAAGAAAGCAGATGTTGCCATACTTGTATCAGACAAAGTAGACTTCAAGATAAAACAGGTTAAGAGAGACAAAGAGGGGCAATATATAATGATGAAAGGGACACTCCACCAAGAAGACATATCAATTGTAAATATATATGTACCCAACATAGGAGCACCAAAGTACTTAAAGCAACTATTAACAAACCTAAAAGGAGATATTAACAACAACACAATAATAGCAGGGGATCTTAATACCCCACTTACATCAATGGATAGATCATCCACACAAAAAGTCAATAAAGAAACAGTAGACTTAAAAACTGGACGAGATGGACCTAGTAGACATATACAGAGCACTCCATCCAAAAATGGCTGCCTACAAATTCTTTTCAAGCATGCATGGAACATTCTCAAGGATAGACTATATGTTGGGAAACAAGGCACGCCTCAATAAATTTGAGAAGATTGAAATCATAACAAGCATCTTTTCAGACTATAATGCTATGAAACTGGAAATCAACCACAAGAAAAAAACTGGGAAAGTGACAAAGATGTGGAGATTAAACAACATGCTACTGAACAAGCAATGGATCATTGATGAAATTAAAGGAGAAATTTAAAAAATCTGGAAACAAACAAAAATGAAAATATGCCATACCAACTCATATGGGATGCAGCAAAAGCGGTCCTGAGAGGGAAATTCATAGCAAGATAGGCCCACCTCAACAAACAAGAAAAAGCCCAAATAAGCAACCTTAAATTACACCTAACAGAACTAGGAAAAGAAGAACAAACAAAGCCCAAAGTCAGCAGAAGGAGAGAAATAATAAA